AACCATAGGCTTTCTCCCAGGCAGAGTCTTGTATTTCCAAAGTTCAGAACAAAGCTTTCAACTCTCCCAAGGAAGTTTTCTTCCATCTTTTTCTCCTCTGGGGTCTGGGTTTGGACTTCACTGTGATGTATCAAAACCATCAAGGAGGCTGAGCACAGTGGTTCATGCCTATAATCCCAGTGCTTTGGTAGGCTGAGGTGGGAGGGTCACTTGAAGCCAGGAGTATGAAACCAGCCTGTGCAACTTAGAAAGACCCCATCTCTACAAAATTTGTAAAAATAAGCAGGGTATGCTGGTACAGACTTGTAGTCCCAGGTACTCAGGAGATTGAAGCAGGAGGATTACTTGAGCCTAGTTGTTCAAGGGTGTGGCGAGCTATAATTGCAGTCTGGGCAACAAAGACCTTGTATCTTCAAAAACAAATAAATAAAAGCCATTAAGGGAACAGTGATGGGTCTAGCCACCTTAAGTCTATTTTGTCTAGTTGCCTTCTCCCTGAGCATCTCTTCACTGCCTTTTCCCCTCTGGTTACCCAAAAAGCAGCTCCCAAATCATCCCTCCCTGCAATCCTTTATATTCACCCCATTTCTCATCAGCCCTCTTCTTTTCTCTCTGCAGGTTATACCTATGCAGCCCCAATTTCCACCAGTGAGTATTGTTGGCTCTGCTTTCCTGGGTCCCCTTCACACTTTTGGGTTAGAGACTAGCTGTTCTCCTTCACCTCCTTTCCTAAGATGGAAAGATCCTCAGCTCATCTCTTCTCTCTTTTTTCTGGGTATATGGAGTCCAGTTCAGGGTGAGGAGGCGTAGGCACAGATATGTTCTCTCAACCCAATGTGAACTCACATGGTTATTATTTTGATTCTTTTAAAATTTTGCTCTTGGGGTCATATGCACCCATAATCTCAACACTTTGTGAGGTCGAGGCAGGAGGATCATTTGAGTTCAAGAGTTTGAGATAAACCTGGGCAACAGACCAAGATGCCATCTCTAAAAAAATGTTTTTAATTGGATGACCGTGGTGTTGGATGCCTGTGATCCCAGTACTCAGGAAGCTGATATAGGATTAGCCCAGGAGTTCAAGACTGGAGTGAGCTATGCTCATGCCACTGCTCTCTAGCCTGGGTGACAGAGGGAAGGAGGCTCTGTCAAGAAAGAAAGGAAGGAAGGAAGGAAGGAAGGAAGGAAGGAAGG